GGAATGATAAGGATAAGGACCAAAATGTTCAAACTACACGTTCAAATGTTGAGGATTTGGGTTGGCATAATCTTCTGTTCATATTTTAAATCTTATGTAAATCTTATCTCTTGAAACTCTTATCTCTTGTAACAGTTCTGAATATATTACATGAGTTTACACTCTTCTCTGGTAAGCAAAACCAGATTTATTCCAGTTCTTTCAATATTCATCTTCATTTGCTGTCATTGCATGATCCTTTTAATAGAGATCTAAATTTGATGTTCCAGGCATCCTGTGTGCTAACAATTAATTGATGATCCTCCAGGTACTTGATTTTATTCATCCTCCTGGTGAAGTTGATGAAACATGTTCTCTTTACCTCCAAGTCTAAGGGATATACATTCAGCCGGTTTCTAAAAATGGTAAGGGGCTTAACTCCCTTCATTACTTTGAAAGTATAGAGTATAACATTCATGTTTTATTAGTTTAAAATCTATTTTTTTATTGTGCACAGGTTTTTATTTGTTAATTAGAGTAATAGCGGTGACTCTGTGTCACACTATAGCAGCTTCAATGGCTCCACGCCTTGGTTCAACACCTATGGTTGCGTTCCAAATTTGCTACAGGTCTGGCTCACTCATCTCTTCGGGCTGATGGATTGGCTGTTGCGGGACAGGTATTTAATAACTTCCAATTTTTCTTCATGATTATGCTTTCAAAGAGTAGCATCTGAATATGAACTTATCAGTAACATGTTTCAGGCCTTCTGCTTGTTCTTGCTGAGAAGGACTATCAATAGGCACAGTCAGCAAAAGATTACTGTAGGTAAGCCATTATTACTTTAGGATTTACAATTAATGGTCTCATCTTTTTGTAGAAAATTCGCGGAAATTCAACACCCAGATAATTAGAGATCATTTATAGATATAGATCACTTAACCAATAGATTTAGGATTTTAGGAATACTTGTCTGAGCAATGATGTGTACAAAATTTGTTGAATCAATGATGTATAGTAAAACTCTCTACTGTGAACTCTATGTAAAAATAAATTCTACATAGTCATAAAAAATTTTATTCCCATTTCGGATAGTTATAAATAAAATAACTTCATATTGTAATAAGTTATAATTTTTCTGATTCCCGTCTGAAGGAAAGTTTCCTCCACATAGTAATAACTATCTTATATTGTAAAAAAAAATATATATGTTATATTACATTAAAGGTTTAAGACGAAATAAATATTTATCTAAATTGTTTGGAACAATGATTATGCTTTAGAGTTTATACCACATCTTTTAACTTACGGTACATTACTCTAGCATGACATCTTCTTGTTGAGCCAAAATATTTCTAGCATCTCAAGTATATTTAGAGCTTATTGGCACGAAATTTTTGTATCTCCATACTATCAACTCATGATTATTTCCTTTCTATTTTTGTCTAATTGCAGCAATGATTTCTTCTTCAAATAATACATGATGACTTGTTGTTTATTTGGATGATTAAAAAGATATTATATTCATTTGATTAATATAGTGAAATTTCGAATATAATCACTCAATTCTACTGTGACTCTTTGATTCTCCACCTCCACTTAATTTGTAACTTGCAATTCATCGACATGGGAGTCCTAACTTGCAATGTTTAAAACAATGGCAATTTTATATGGCTTCACATCATTGACCATGTAGCAACTGCATTTACAATTCTATCAAAGACACTATATTTTTGCTAGTTCCAAGAAAAATCTTTTATCCGTTTCAAAAGTGGGCAATTAATGTGTTGAATTTGAAATCCTAATACTATTAAAAATGAATTTAAATCTTATTACTTACTACTAAAACATGAATTGTAAAATAAAAAAATTTTGTAACTACACATCTATTAAGTAATAACCTCCTTATAATAAAAATTATTAGTTCTAATTATGATTTAGAAGGTTTTCTGTATATAGTTTTATGTGAAACTCTTAACTTGTAACCTAGCCTTAAAGCAATTTAATGTAGCCTTAAACACTCATCTTTGACCAATGAGTACAACTTTATTAAGAGATAACAAAAGCTATCACAAGCAATTACATTCATCAGAGAATTTATGTCATTCTCTTAACCTCTAATAATAATTTTAATGAAACAAATTTTCATGGTTCCACTGTAAAATACATAAGAACCCCCTTTGAGTAGGTTACTATATAAGGAAACAAATTTCCTAAATAACGATAGAGAAATTTATGAGTATCATAAATACTTTTTTGACAATTACCACTTACTCACCCATAATCCTCCCGATAGAAATTCATGTATTTAACAACATGCCCATAAATTTACTTTAGTCATATTCCCACACAATATAACAACTATTCATGTACGTATAATATTATAATTATATTATTATAATAATTACATAGCTTTATATATATAGCTTCAGGATCAGGACTAAATTACATAACTATATGTGCTCTTCAACCATTCCTACTACCAAAAATACCCAGCAATATAATATGTAACTTTTGTATTGGATATGATTATCTCGCTAAGTGATTAATATTTTTTTTTTTTTTTTTTTGTGATCAGGATATTCTGACCAGTTTACACGTACATCAATTAAATTTTAAGATTTTAAAGTTAACAACCGAATAAATCTCTTGAATAAATTTTTAATGATTATCTTTATTAATAATTATGATGAATCCAATTCAAAATCTTTTAAATAATATCAAGGATTACCTTATCTTAGTTGGTTAAGTGATTAACATTACCAATTTCTCATTTGTTTCTATAATTATGTGCTTGGAAGGACCCGCCTCGCACTTAATTTAATCTCTTCACTTGAGTTTACAATCTTGACCTTGTACGGATATCCTAATCTTGAGTGACTACAAAGGAAGACGTGTCACTTTCCCAGGGCTTGATCATTCCTCTCTGCCGTGATTGTCAAAATTCTACTCAAGACGTCTCTTTAATGAATGTATTTATGAAGCGTTTGTCACTATATAGAATTGTCACCATTAAACAAAATATTCTCAGTCACTTTACGTTAACTCATCGAAAGTTTACAAATCGATTATCAAGGCCATATGACTTCTGTCGGTGAAGTTTGTCATCGTTCATGTTTCATAGGTTAACTCCTTTCTTCAATATTTTCCATACTGTTTAGCAGTGTGAACATAAGACTTTTGATGCATACTGTTTAGCAGCGAGAAAGTCTTTTTATGTAGTAGGTGTCTATAAATTACTTTGAGCTGAGTTTGGTTTACTTTTTTATACTTTTTAAAAAAATTTATAGGAAAAGTTAAAAAAAATTTGAATTGAATAGCTATTACGATATAAAATTTAAAAATAAATAAAAATATCTTTTATATTTATTTATTTACAAAATATCCTTCATATATTTGTTTATTTACTAAAAACTCCTATAATAAAATATTAAAAGTTAACAAAAATACCCCTAATCCACCCGCCAACACATGAACAACTGACCACCACCACCGAAGGGTGGCCGGAGTCATCGTATCGACGCATGACCGATTGGATCTTACCGGTCTTGTGCCGATATGCCCTTTTCTGACCAGATCTATGGCTAGATCTGGCAGTATTTACTCGTGTACGACGGCCAAAGATACGGTCGTCGTTGATGGTAAACGACGACCATGTGTTGGCCGTCGTTGACGACTGACTACAGCCAACGGCCAGATCTTTGGCCTTAGATTTGGCCGAAAAAGGCTAGATCGGTGCACTACCGGTCAGATTCAGCCAATAGTGGTGGCCGGAATCTGGTAAATATGGTTGCTGGAGTTTTTTTGCAATTTCTAAAAAAATATTTATGGGTATTTAATTAAATTAACAAATTTAAGGAGTTTAAAAAAAGTTGAATAATATTGTGAATTTTTGCGATTTTACTGTTTAGCTTTATTAGGAATACTAGTAGTAGTTTGGTGATAATAACGAGATAAAATTTAAAAATTAACAAAAATAATCTTCTAGGTTTGTTAATTTATTAAACACCCTTATAATAAAAATATTAAAAATTATAAAAACATCATCACCCACCCATTAAATATTGGCAGCCGATCACCACTATCAGAGGGTAGCCGAAGTCTCTGTATCAGAGTACGAGCGACTAGATCTAACCGATCGTGTACCAAGATGGCCTTTTTTCAACTAGATCTACCATAGATCTTATAAAAAAATATCAAATCTACAACTAGATCTGACCATTGACAGCCAGATCTAACTATGTTTGATCGTTAATAATGGTCAAAGATATAACTTTCGTTAATGGCCAAAATTATATCAATTAGGTTCAAAACTAAGCTTATAGGGGAGATATATCTGGGGTAGAGGTTGAAAAAAATGAACGAATCTTGCTTTCAAAGAAGGTTCATAAAGACCAAGACAAAATGTCTATTCTGATTATGATTTGTCCCAACTTATTAAAGGAATTTAATATAAATCCTAGTATGTGTCACATTCACTTCGGGCTTTACAATGCTTCTAATATTATTATTATTTTATATCTTAGTTTCCAGGTTACTTCTGCTGTGACCTAAACTTTATGTAATGAAGGGCTCAAATTTAAAAAACCATTTTGTCAAATATAAACAAGGTTTAGTTAATTAATTAGAGACACTTCGTTTGACGGATTGTTGATTAATTTCTATAACCAAGGTACGGGTCAACTATAATTAGTTTGTTATTAAACGAGCCAACTCTCTGAAGCATATAATCGATTTGGCGTTTCTTAAGTTTGATATTTCTTATCACGTCTTTGATATTTCTTATCACATCTGATATCTCCATTGTTAATATTCCTCAGTAAAAACAATTCATTAGTTATAATTTATTTCTCTAAGCCATTGAAGTGGTTGTTCAAAACAATAAATTTCATGCACATGCAATCTTCGATATTTATTTACTCGCAATTGGGGAGCTTTGTAAACCTGTGAGATCTCAGCACTTTGAACTTGGGTTCATCCGATTCAAACTTGAAATTATTTTGGATTTGAATCAATACTGTATGGCCGACACTACTGATCTGCGTTCACCACAAAGCAAATGGAGAATCCGAGTTTTTGTTTTCTTCAAAGATGCGAGGTAATAACTGATGAACTTTTAGTTTCCTGTATTTTTTTACATGCACGTAGATGGCTAACAACCTGGAGATCGATCTTATGTTTATAGTTCGTGCTAACGTGATCATTTTATGTAAATTTCAGACTTGTGTTCAAGATGGATTCACTTGGTTTGGAGATTATTCAGATTGCACTTCCTGCTGCTCTAGCTTTAGCCGCTGATCCCATCGATTCGCTCATTGACACAGCATTTATTGGCCGTTTAGGTCTGTTTTCTTATCTTTCATCCTCTTAATTTTAGCAGATTTATGAACATCTCTCAGTTTTTTAAGTGAATTAATCAACATTTTGTGCGTCAATAGGAGCGGTGGAGCTTGCAGCCGTGGGAGTTTCAATCGCCATATTCAATCAAGCTTCAAAGATTACCATATTTCCACTAGTCAGTATCACAACTTCTTTTGTCGCTGAAGAGGAAACCATTGGACGAGTTACCAATGTTGAAGAACCAAAAGCTGAGGACTCGGAGAAGAGTTCAGCTAAAGATAGTGAAATGAAGGAGTTGAAGCCAGAAGAAGCCATGCTTGAGAACTTGGAAAAAGGAGCTTCAACAAACACTGCTACTGAAACAAAAGATGAATCTTCATCAGATAATAATTCTTCGGCAACTACATGCAAGTCTCCCTCTCTAATGGAAAGCAAAGAGTTGAGTAAGGGGAAGTGACATATCCCTTCAGCATCAACTACACTAATTACAGGCGCCTTTCTTGGTCTTGTCCAAGCTATATTTCTTGTATTCGGAGTCAAACCTCTGTAACATATTATGGGCGTGAAGTCTGTGAGTTCTTAATTATTTCAGGATTTATTTTTGTTCTGATTTTCTGTTTACTAAGTGCTGAGTAAGGAAACCTTTTTCGTTCGCTATTGATCAGAATTCTCCCATGATGAACCTTGCTCAGAAATACTTGACTTTAAGATCACTGGGTGCTTCTGCAGTCCTTCTTTCTCTAGCAATGCAAGGGGTTTTTCGAGGATTGAAGGATACAAAAACTCCCTTATACGCCACTGGTAGCCTAAAATTCTCTCCCTTATCATTCAGAATTTTAGTTCATTTAGCGGTATATAACATCACATTTCATGTAAAACAGTTGCAGGAGATTTGACAAATATCATTTTGGACCCAATATTTCATAAGGATAAGGACCACAATGTTCAAACTACACGTTCAAATGTTGAGGATGTTGGGTTGGCATAATCTTCTGTTTATATTTTAAATCTTGTGTAAATCTTATCTCTTGAAACTCTTATCTCTTGTAACAATTCTGAATATATATACATGAGTTTACACTCTTCTCTGGTAAGCAAAACCAAATTTATTCCAATTCTTTCATGGTATCAGAGCCATCTATAGCTAACGCTTTTGTCGATCCTATGGCTTCTGTTGCAGAATCTTCGTCTTCTTCCACTGCATTTCATCTTCCTTCTCAAGTCATTTCCATCAAACTTGATGGAACCAACTTTCTTGCTTGCAGTGCTCAGTTACTTCCCTTGTGTCATAGCTATGGTCTCATAGGAATCGTTGATGGTTCCAAACCCAGTCCTCCTCAATTTTCCAGCGCCGAAAATAAGACCCAAGGTATTCTTAATTCTGCTTTTGTGGTTTGGCAATATAAGGACCAAACGGTACTTGGCTGGATTGTTTCTTCTTTTTCTCCTGCAGTTATCTCCACCATATTTGGTCTTGAGACTTCTTGGCTTGCTTGGCAAGCCCTTGGCGCACGGTTTGTTGCACCCTCCACGTCTCGCATTTCTCTTATTAAAAGAAAGTTGCAATCTGTACAGCAAGGCTCCATGTCTTGCTGGGATTTTTTGGATAAGGTTAAATCCCTTGCTGATGAATTATCTGCCGTTGGGAAACCAATTGATGACTCCGATTTGATTCTCTCTGTTCTCAATGGTCTCAACTCCTCTTTCCATTCCTTTGTAATGACATATATGCTCCTTGCTAAGGAGAAATCTATGCCTTTTTTGGACTTCCATGCAGAGCTGTTGAACTATGATCTTATGCAGAAGTTTCATAATCAAACCATACAACCAAAGGCGTGATCATATGCCCTCTACTCGCATAAACCTGGTTCTAAACCAGGATCTCGTAACAGCAACAGCAAGTCCCGTTTTTCCGGTGTGTCCAAAGGCTCGAGTGGTTCTTCTTCTCATTTTCGGCAACCATTGCCTCATCTGCCCTCCTCGTCACCTGCTCCTACTGCTGCTCAGTCTGTCTCTCGCTCTCGATCTCCTTGTCAAATATGCAAACGGGAAGGTCATCAGGCACTAGACTGCTTTAATCGCATGAACTACTCGTTTCAGGGGCGTCATCCTCCAACTGATTTAGCTGCTATGGTTGCTGAGGCTAACACCAATTATCTCAATCAAAATCAATGGTATGCTGACAGTGGTGCAAAAATTCATGTTACCTCCGATATTGCCAATCTTGCAACCTCTCAGCCGTATGACGGTGATGACTCAGTGGGTGTAGGTAATGGTACAGGTTTGGTTATTTCTCGGACTGGCACTGCTTCCATTCAAACTTCATCTTCTACTCTCAAATTAAATAACTTTGCTTATTGTCCTTAAGCTTCTGCTCATCTTCTCTCTATTAATAAATTTTGTAAAGATAATAATGTTCTCTTTGAACTCACTGGTTCTTGTTTTTCTGTGAAGGACATCCGGACAAGGGACACAATTCTAACGGGGCCAAGTGATAATGGATTGTATCCGATCAACCTTCGTCAACTTTCTTCACCCAAGTTTCATGCTCTCACCATGACTGTTGGCGTCAATGCTTCTACCTCCACTTGGCATTGTCGTTTAGGACATCCTTCCACGACAACTCTACATCGTGTCATTTCTAAGTTTTCTCTACCAGTTTGTAATTCCATAAATAAACAGGTCATTTGTGTGTCTTGTCAACTTGGCAAATCTAAATAGTTGCCATTTTCAGACTCTAAAAGAGAGTCAACTACCCCTTTAGAAATCATTCATTCCGATGTTTGGTCTACTTCTACTCCATCTTTAAGTGGTTGTCAGTATTATGTAATTTTTATTGACGACTATACTCGTTTTTGTTGGTTGTTTTCCCTTTCTAATAAATCCGATGTTTATTCTACGTTTGTTAAGTTCAAGCTTTTAGTGGAAAAACAATTTCATTACACCAATAAACAATTCCAAAGTGATCATGGTGGTGAATATTGTTCAACCATTTTTAAACAATTTATAACTTCACATGGCATTTTTCATCGTCTTTCCTATCCTCATACCTCCCAACAAAATGGCCTCGCCGAAAGAAAACATCGTCATATTATGGAAATGGGTCTCACTCTCCTCGCCCAATCTGGCTTACCTAAGCACTTTTGGGTTGATGCTTTTCTCACATCTATTTTTCTCATTAATCGCTTAACTACCAAGGTCCTTGATTATTCATCACCTTATGAACGCCTGTTTCATCTTCCCCTTGACTTTACCTATTTTCGTTCTTTTGGCTGTCAATGCTTTCCCTATCTTCGCCCTTACACGCCTAATAAACTGTCTTACCGTAGCACACCTTGTATTTTCATGGGTTATTGCTCTAATCACAAGGGGTTTTAGTGTTTTGATCCATCCTCCAGGCGGGTGTATATTTCTCGCAATGTTATTTTTTACGAGAGCCTCTTTCCAGCTCGTGACCAATACCTCTTCCCTGAGTCTGCTCGTTGCATGGACTTTTTTCCAACTCGTGACTAATCCCTCTTCTCTGCACCAGCTCGTTGCGTGGCCTCCCTTCCAGCTCGTGACCAACCCCTTGACTCTGCTCATTGCGTGACCTCCTTTCCAGCTCGTGTACAATCCATCTTCACTAACTCTGCTCGTTGCATGGACCCCCCAGGTAATTCTCATACTTTGATCTTCTCTCCTCCCTCACATATTTTCTCTTGTCCTCCTGTTTCGTCTCCTAGTCCCCTTTTGGTGTCTTCTCTCCCTGATTCAGATACACATGTCCTCTCCTCTAGTTAACCCAAGACTCATTTAGACTCCTCCTCTTCTCATCCTTCTTCACCTAGCCTTGCCTCAGTTACCCACGACAGTGCACCTTCAGCTCCCCAAGACCTAGCCCCCTCCTTGTCTATTCCTCTTTCTCATATGATTACTAGATCTCAGACTGGCCGTTCTAAGCCCCATAGCTTTCCTGACTTCCATCTTTATTACTCTACTCGTCACCCTCTTCAATCTTTGCATGCAGGTGTGGTCATATCTGAGCCTCGTACCTATGCTCAAGCGGCACCTATACCTGAGTGGCATACGGCAATTGAGAGTGAATTTCAGGCACTCTTGAAGAATGAAACGTGGTCGTTGTGCCCTCGTCCTCCTGGTATAAATATGGTGCCTTGCAAATGGGTTTTTAAACTCAAACGTAGACCCAATGGCAGCATTGACCGTTACAAGGCCACGTTGGTAGTAGTTGGTTATCTCTAGCGCATTGGGGTTGATTTTCATGACACTTTCAGCCCAGTCATCAAACCTTCTACTGTCCGTATGGTTCTTTCACTTGCAGTTTCTTTCAACTGGGATATTCGGCAACTGGATGTCTCTAACACCTTTCTCCATGGCATTTTAGGAGAAGAGGTTTATATGGCCCAACCGAAAGGTTTTGAGGATCTAGTGCACTCCCAATTTGTTTGTAAGTTTCATAAATCTCTCTATGGCTTGAAGCAAGCTCCTCGGGCGTGGTTTCTTCACCTCTCTATTGCCTTGCTCTCTCTTGGTTTTCACAGTTCACAAGTTGACCCATCGTTATTCACCTATCACCAAGACTCGGTCCATGTGTTTTTGTTGGTGTATGTGAATGATATTCTTGTCACTTCTAATGATCAGGACTTCATTACATCTCTTATCTATACCCTGCAACTTGAGTTTGCTATGAAGGATCTCAGCCAGTTGACTTATTTTCTGGGTATTTAAGCCACACGCAATTCTTCTGGTTTGCACCTTCGCCAAACAAGGTATATCATTGATTTGTTAGAACGTGTGAAACTCCTGGGAATCTAGCCCTATCGAGCTCCTTGTGTCTCGGGCTCCAAACTGTCTAAATTTGATGGAGATCCTCTTTTGGATCCGGCTGAATATTGTCAAACTGTAAGTGCTTTGCAGTATGTCACCCTTACACACCCCGATATCGCATATTTCGTAAACCAGCTTTGTCAACACATGCAAGCTCCCACTTCTGCACATTGGACAACAACCAAACGAGTGTTAAGGTACTTGAAGCAGACACTTGATTTTGGCATGCTCTATAAGCCAGTTTCCTTCTCTATTAATGCCTACTGTGATTCTGATTGGGCTGGAGACCCTGACGACAGACGCTCAACGTGTGGTTATGGTGTTTATATGGGTCCTAACCTCATCTCTTGGTCCGCCAAGAAGCAACCTGTTGTCTCTAAATCTAGTACGGAGGCAAAATATCACTGCTTAGCTCTTGTCAAGGCTGAGGTATATTGGCTACGCATGCTCTTGTGTGAGCTGCAAATTTCACTTGACTTGGCTCCCATTGTTTGGTGTGATAATATCAGTGCTCTAGCTCTTGCCTCCAATCCAATTTTCCATGCCAAATCCAAGCATATTGAAGTGGATTACCACTTTATCCTAGAAAAGGTGGCAAACCGAGACATAATCCTACACCATGTCCCTTCTTCATTACAACCTGCGGATATTTTTACCAAGGGTCATACGGCTGATAGGTCCTGTTTCCTCAGAGACAAACTCTCAGTGATGGATCTCCCTGCTAGTTTGCGGGGGAATGATAAGGATAAGGACCAAAATGTTCAAACTACACGTTCAAATGTTGAGGATGTTGGGTTGGCATAATCTTCTGTTCATATTTTAAATCTTATGTAAATCTTATCTCTTGAAACTCTTATCTCTTGTAACAGTTCTGAATATATATACATGAGTTTACACTCTTCTCTGGTAAGCAAAACCAGATTTATTCCAGTTCTTTCAATATTCATCTTCGTTTGCTGTCATTGCATGATCCTTTTAATAGAAGTCTAAATTTGATGTTCCAAGGCATCCTGTGTGCTAACAATTAATTGATGATCCTCCAGGTACTTGATTTTATTCATCCTCCTGGTGAAGTTGATGAAACATGTTCATCTTTTACCTCCAAGTCTAAGGGATTTACAATTCAGTCGGTTTCTTAAAAATGGTAAGGGGCTTAACTCCCTTCATTACTTTGAAAGTATAGAGTATAACATTCATGTTTTATTAGTTTAAAATCTAATTTTTTTATTTGGGCACAGGTTTTTATTTGTTAATTAGAGTAATAGCTGTGACTGTCTGTGTCACACTATAGGCAGCTTCAATGGCTGCACGCCTTGGTTCAACACCTATGGTTGCGTTCCAAATTTGCTTACAGGTCTGGCTCACATCATCTCTTCTGGCTGATGGATTGGCTGTTGCGGGACAGGTATTTAATAACTTCCAATTTTTCTTCATGATTATGCTTTCAAAGAGTAGCATTCTGGATATGAACTTATCAGTAACATGTTTCAGGCCATTCTAGCTTGTTCATTTGCTGAGAAGGACTATCAATAGGCAACAGTTGCAGCAAATAGATTACTGTAGGTAAGCCATTATTACTTTAGGATTTACAATTAATGGTCTCATCTTTTTGTTAGAAAATTCGCGGAAATTCAACACCCAGATAATTATAGGATCATTTATAGATAATAGATCACTTAACCAATAGATTTAGGATTTTAGGAATACTTGTCTGAGCAATGATGTGTACAAAATTTGTTGAATCAATGATGTATAGTAAAACCTCTCTACTGTGATACTCTATGTAAAAATAAATTCTACATAGTCATAAAAAATTTTATTCCCATTTCGGAATAGTTATAAATAAGAATAAACTTCATATTGTAATAAGTTATAATTTTTCTGATTCCCGTCTGAAGGAAAGTTTCCTCCACATAGTAATAACTATCTGTATATTGTAAAAAAAAAATATATATATGTTATATTACATTAAAGGTTTAAGACGAAATAAAATATTTATCTAAAGTTGTTTGGAACAATGATTTATGCTTTAGAGTTGATACCACATCTTTTAACTTACGAGTACATTACTCGCTAGCATGAACATCTTCTTGTTGAAGCCAAAATATTTCTAGCATCTCAAGTATATTTAGAGCTTATTGGCACGAAATTTTTTGTATCTCCATACTATCATACTCATGATTATTTCCTTTCTATTTTTGTCTAATTGCAGCAATGATTTCTTCTTCAAATAATACATTGATGACTTGTTGTTTATTTGGATGATTAAGAAAGATATTAATATTCATTTGATTAATATAGTGAAATTATCGAATATAATCACTCAATTCTACTGTGACTCTTTGATTCTCCACCTCCACTTAATTTGTAACTTGCAATTCATCGACATTGGGAGTCCTAATCTTGCAATGTTTAAAACAATTGGCAATTATTTATGGCTTCACATCAATTGACCATGTAGCAACTGCATTTACAATTCTATCAAAGACACTTATATTTGCTAGTTCCAAGAAATAATCTTTTATCCGTTTCAAAAGTGGGCAATTAAAGTGTTGAATTTGAAATCCTAATACTATTAAAATATGAATTTAAATCTTATTACTGTACTACTAAAACATGAATTGTAAAATAAAAAAATTTTGTAACTACACATCTATTAAGTAATAACCTCCTTATAATAATAAAATTAATTAGTTCTACCATTATGATTATAGATAGGTTTTCCTGTATATAGTTTTATGTGAAACTCTTAACTTGTAACCTAGCCTTAAAGCAATTTAATGTAGCCTTAAACACTCATCTTTGACCAATGAGTACAACTTTATTAAGAGAATACACAAGCTATCACAAGCAATTACATTTCATAGAATTTATGTCATTCCTCTTAACCTCTAATAATAATTTTAATGAAACAAATTTTCATGGTTCCACTGTAAAATACATAAGAACCCCCTTTGAGTAGGTTACTATATAAGGAAACAAATTTCCTAAATAAACGATAGAGAAATTTATGAGTATCAATAAATAGACTATTTTGACAATTACCACTTATCTCACCCATAAATCCTCCCGATAGGAAATTCATGTATTTAACAACATGCCCATAAATTTACTTTAGTCATATTCCCACACATATATACAACTATTCATGTACGTATAATAATTATAATTATTATTATTATTATAATAATTACATAAGCTTTATATATATAGCTTCAGGATTCAGGACTTAAAATTACATAACTATATGTGCTCTAGTGTTTGTCAGTTTCATATTTGTTTTTCATGGTTTTTCTTATTTTCTTTTTTGGGGTAACATTTCCCAGAATGCTTATGTTTGAGTGTCATTGTACCATATCGCTTTTATAAAATAAGAATCACATGGCCGACCACCATTTCTCTCCTCTCTCCCACATGGAAATTTTTACCCATTTTATAAATTTATTAAACAGAAGAGATTCTTTGATATTACTAGATTTATGGTTACTCAATATATTGCCAAATCAAAGTATTCTCAGTCACTATACGTTAATTCATCGAAAGTTCAAAATCGATTATCAACTTTGAACTTGCCATATAACTCTTTATCGGTGAAGATTTTGTCATCCTTCTTGTTTTAAAGGCTGCAGTTCATCCATGCAACTGTTATTTGCCTTACTTTTTAGCTGGTGTGAACATAAGACTGCTGATGCAAACGTCTAAGTTATAAGAAAGTCTTTTTTAATTAAATAGGCGTACATAAATCATGTAAAATAGGTGACATGTAGAGATTGGACGAACGTGCGTTTCGCTGACTTATAGTTATATATATCAGGATTCAAAATAAACCTTATATTTAAACTGTATGCACAAGGACAGGGGTCAAAAGTTATATCAATTAATTAGGTTCAAAATTAAGCTTATAGTGGAGATATATCTGGGGTAGTAGTTGAAAAAAATGAACGAATCTTGCTTTCAAAGAAGGTTCACACAGACCAAGACAAAAATGTCTATTCTGATTACAATCTTGACCTTGTACGGATATCAATCTTGCTTAACTACAAAGGAAGACATGTTACTTTCCCAGGGCTTGATCAATCCTCTCTACTGTGATTGTTTTATTCTATTATTAAAAATTCTATGCAAGGCATCTCTTTAATAAATGTATTTATGAAGCGTTTGTCACTATATAGAATTGTCACCATTATTCAAGAACACACTTTATAAAATATTACAAAATCAAAGTATTCTCAGTCACTATACGTTAATTCTCCGAAAGTTCAAAAATCGATTACCAACTTGGAAGTTGGAACTTGCCATGGGACGGACTCTTAGTCAGTCAAGATTCTGTCATCGTTCATGTTTTAAAAGGCTGTGTAAGTAGAACAACTTAGAGCTGGTTCATCCATGCAACAGTTTTTTATTCGATATTTTCTTTAGTTTCTTTTTTTTTTTTTTTCCCTGAGTAAATTCAATAATTACCTCTCTCATAATTCGAACACAAAACCTCTGGTTATAATTAACCCTAATGACTAAGTTATGAGAAAGTTTTTTAATGAAATTGGTGTGCATAAATAATGTAAAATATATGACATATTGAGCGAAATATATGTGCATCTGTTTCATTGGAGCGTTTCACTGACTTATATATATGTCAGGATTCAAAACAAATCTTATATTTAAACTGTATGCACAAGGACAGGGGTCCAAAAATAATATCAGTTAGGTTAAAAATTAAGTTTATAGTGGAGATGTATCTGAGGTAGAATTTGAAAAGAAGAAAGAATCTTGCTTTCAAAGAAGGTTCACAAAGACCAAGACAAAAATGTCTATTCTGATTATGGTTTGTCTCAACTTATTAGAGGAATTTATAATTTTTATTAGTGGAGACTCATTTTAACCGATGACGTTATTAGGGGTATAAATAACTGAGGGAGGTCTACATTAATTAATTACAAATATAAGTCTTAGTATGTGTCACACATTTCCGGATTTACTGGGGGCTTTACAATGCTATATTATTATTATTATTTTATATCTTAACTTCCAGGTTACTTCTGCTGTGGCCTAAACTTTATGTAATGAAGGGCTCAACTTTACAAAACCATTTTGTCAAATACTGTATTAATAATCAAAAATCCAATTTTAATCAAGTTTCCTATGTGAATTATGTTATCCGTTTGTCAAAGATATAAGCAAATATTTGTCTTTTGGCCAAATGCAACAAAAGGGTAGGCTGTAAAGTTTAACCGGTCGGCGAAACTATGAAATTATAAACAAGGTTTAGTTAATTAATTAGAGACACTTCGTTTGACGGGGTGTTGATTAATTTCTTTAACTGAGGTAGGGTTCAACTATATATCCTATAATTTGTTTAAATTCCTTGAGTTTGTCATTAAACGTGCTAACTCTCTGAAGCATATAATCGATTTGGCGTTTCTTAAGTTTGATATTTCTTATCACATCTGATATCTGATTTTCTCCATTGATAATATTCCTCAATAGTTCATTAGTTATAATTTATTTCTCTAAGCCATTGCATGTTCTGCCATTGAAGTTGTTGTTAAGAATGCACATGCAATCTTCGACTTCTACTCGCAGTTGCGGAGCGAGCTTTGTAAACCTGTGAGATCTCAGCACTTGGGTTCATCCGATTAAAATTTGAACTTATTTTGTATTTGAATCAGTACCGTATGGCCGACACTACTGATCTGCATTCACAACAAAAGCAAATGGAGAATCCCAGTTTTTGTTTTCTTCAAAGATGCGAGGTAATAAATGATGAACTTTTAGTTTCCTGTATTTTTACATGCACGTAGATGACTAACAACCTGGAGATCTTATGTTTATAGTTTGTGTAATGTGATCATTTATGTAAAATCAGACTTGTGTTCAAGATGGATTCACTTGGTTTGGAGATAATTCGGATTGCACTTCCTGCTGCTTAGCTTTAGCCGTGATCCATCGCTTCTTGATTGACACAGCATTTATTGGCCGTTTAGGTCTGTTTTCTTATCTCATCCTCTTAATTTTAGCAAATTTATGAACATCTCTCAGTTTTTTTAAGTGAATTAATCAACATTTTGTGCGTCAATAGGCGGTGGAGCTTGCAGCCGGGGGAGTTTCAATCGCCATATTCAATCAAGCTTCAAGGATTACCATATTTCCACTAGTCAGTATCACAACTTCTTTTGGCGCTGAAGAGGAAACCATCGGCGAGTTACCAATGGTGAAGAACCAAAAGCTGAGAACTCCGAGAAGAGCTCAGCTAAAGATAGTGAAATGAAGCAATTGAAGCCAGAAGAAGCCATGCTTGAGAACTTGGAAAAAGGAGCTTCAACAAAACATACTACTGAAACAAAAGATGAATCTTCATCAGATAATATTCTATGCAACTTATACATGTAAGTCTCCTCTCTAATGGAAGCAAAGAGTTGAGTAAGGGGAAGCGACATATCCCTTCAGCATCAACTGCACTAATTATAGGCGCCTTTCTTGGTCTTGTCCAAGCTATATTTCTTGTATTCGGAGTCAAACTCTGTTGCATATTATGGGAGTGAAGTCTGTAAGTTCTTAATATTTCAGGATTTATTTTTGTTTTGATTTTGTGTTACCAAGTGCTGAGTAAGGAAATCTTTTTTCTTCGCGATTGATCAGAATTCTCCCATGATGAAACCTGCTCAGAAATACTTGACTTTAAGATCACTGGGTGCTCCTGCAGTCCCTTTCTCTAGCAATGCAAGGGGTTTTTCGAGGATTGAAGGATACAAAAACTCCTTATACGCCACTGGTAGCCGAAATTTCTCTCTTTTATCATTCAGAATTTTAGTTCATTTAGCGATATATAAAATCACATTTCCCGTAAAACAGTTGCAGGAGATTTAACAATACAACATTTGGACCCAATATCTTTGTTTGCCGTCTTGGTGTCAGTGGAGCCGCCATTGCACATGTTCTTTCACAGTAAGTTTTATCATTGCATGAATCCTTTAATAGAAGTCTAAATGATGTTCCTAGGCATCCTGTGTACTAACAAATGATTGATGATCCCCAGATACTTGATTTCATTCATCCCCTGGGGAGGTTGATGAAACAAGTCCATTCTTACCCAAGTCTAAGGGATTTGCAATTTAGTCGGTTTCTAAAAATGGTAAGGGGCTTAACTCCCTCTGTACTTTTTGAAAGTATCGAGTATAACATTCATGTTTCATTAGTTTAATTTCTGATTTTTGTATTTGGGCACAGGTTTTTATTTGTTAACCAGAGTAATAGCTGCGACTATCTGGTCACACTCGCAGCTTCAATGGCTGCACGCCTGGTTCAACACCTATGGCTGCGTTCCAAATTTGCTACAGGTCTGGCTCACATCATCTCTTCTGGCTGATGGATTGGCTGTTGCGGGACAGGTATTTAATAACTTCCAATTTTTCTCATGATTATGATTTCAATGAGGAGCATTATGAATTATGAACTTATCAGTAACATGTTTCCTCCACTGTCAGGCCATTCTAGCTTGTTCATTTGCTGAGAAGGACTATGAGAAGGCAACAGGTGCAGCAAACAGGTACTGCAGGTAAGCCATTATATTTTAAGGGAGCATTTGGTTAGGGGGTATTTGAGATTACTCGGATCAAGTCACTTATATTACTTAGATTATCATGTTTAGTATCAAGTAATATAAGATACGATAATCTTTAAGTACCAATAGTGGTACTATTGACAATATTTAAGGTAATTCGATTTTTCTATTTCTAGGTATTCTAAGATATTAGGGATATTTTTTATTACGATTCTATCTCTTATTAATAAAATTTTAGGACAATAATGCCCTTATTTTTAAATTTATTACATGAATATAGCTTTTACTATTTCACCCCAATAATTAACTTTTTTAACAAATTTACCCTGAATTAAAAAAAAAATTACAGCCCACACCAAACCACCACCCCAGCCACCTACCGCGGTAACCACCGCCGCGGCCAACCGCCACGGAACAATGCACGAAATGCCAAAAATGGCCAATATGGCCATTGCGAACTGATATCTGGTCGGAAATGGTTGACGGCAAATCTAATCAGGTCATCAAAGACCGATCCATCAACTAGCCGTTGAAGGCATATCGACGTACGGCGGCCATTTTTTGCCTTTTGTGCACCGTTAGGTTGCTGGCTGCCGATAGCCTATGGTGGGTGCCGACGATCGACAGTAGCTGGGTTGGTGGGGGTGTTTTGTTGATTTTCCAAACTTTTATTATGGGGTTTTTTTTTTTTTTTTTTTGCTAAGTTTTTAAATGTAAGGGGGCTTATATAATCTAAATACTATTAAATAATAATAATATTTAATTAGAGGACAATTCAGTAATTTAAATAACATATCCACCAATTTATTCCTCTCAACCAAACATATAATATAACATACTTACCAATTAACCAAACACATTTTCCTAAACATTCCCAATAATCTAAGGTAACTATCTTTCCAGTAATCCAAAATTCCTGAACCAAACGCCCTAGGGGGCGTTTGGAGGGCGTATATAACATAATGGGATAATCATCGTTATTTACAAGTTTCTACGTTTGGTTCAAGTAAAAATATTACAGTAATCTTATATTGCAAATAGTGTTATTTTTAGTAATGTGGGGGATAATCTTATTACCTTGTAAAGGGGTTATTAAAACATTATCGAGGTACTCTGATTTTCTACTCATTTTGCCTTAATTAAAAACCATTTCGGACACAATTGCCCTCAAATGTACAAATAACAATTAGTCCAGCCCTACATTTGAGAAATTAGCTAAACACTTCAACCACAAAAAAATTAAAAGTTAACAAAATACCCCCAGCCACCCAAGACCATCGCCGGCGCAGAAATCAGCCACATTAATGGTGCACGACCAACGAGATTTGGCCTATCATGCGCCAGAAAGCTTTTCCAACCATGGATCGCCAGATCTAGTGGTTCTATGGCCGTTTCCAGGCCACATATGGCCGTGAAATGGCCATTTTTCGGCCATGGATTTGCGATCCATGGCCATTTCTGCTTTGTAGCGCACAGCGGCTATATCAGCCAGTCATGCACCATTCCCAGACTGTCGACGACGAGCATTGGCAATGGTAGCTGACTCCGACAGCGACTTGGGGGCGGGTGAGGGTGATTTGTTACAAATTAAAGTTTTATATGGCTGAGGTGTTTTAGTAAAATTTCAAATGTAGAGAGTAAAAATATGATTTAAAAAATAATAATAAAATATTATTATATTAATATTAAAAAGGAGGGCAATTTATAATTTATATAACTACCCACCCATTACCTCCAACAAACATATTATTCACCGATTTATTTCAACCAATCAAACATATTTTCTAAATATTCCTAGTAATCTTTAAAATGATCTTTTTTTCGTTAATATAGGGGGTGTTTGTCTGAGTTTATGAAAATTAGCTTATAAGTAACAAGTTAGTTTATAAGCATTTGAAATGTTAAGCAAATATGTGTTTGATTAAAGTATTATAAGTGACTGATAAGTAGTTGGCGGGTTTGAAAATGTGGCTTATAAGTACATTTTATTATAAAATGACTAAAAAATGTGCTATATTAAACAAGGGTATACTATAGAATTTTAAAATTAAACAAGGAAATGTGGTAATATATTTGGTCAAACTAGCTATATAAGCAAAAAAAAAAAAAAAAAAAATACTCCCCTAACCCCCGCCCAAACTTTTTTTTTTTTTTTTTTCTTATAAGTTCAAAAAAATATAAACAAACAGTCAGCTTAATTTAGAGCTATAAGTAGTTTGACCGTTTATAAGCTTAGACAAACACTCTCATAATATACCCCTATAATAAAACATTATATGATTGAACGTTCCTGAGATTTACAATTAATGGTCTCATCTTTATTATGTTGATGAATGTTTAAAACAAGATCGTGAAAATTATCATATGTTGGTTTTGCAGATGGGTTTTGTTCTAGGCTTGGGGCTTGCTCTCTTTGTAGGACTTGGACTCTACTTCGGCTCTGGAATCTTTTCAAAAGATGTTCATGTTATCACTTATAAACATCGGCATACCGGTAATTCATACTTCCGGACATACGTGTATCATATTGGTAAATTAACTTAAAACTAAATACTCTCTTTTTTCACCCTTCAGTTTGTTGCAGCAACTCAACCCATCAATTCCTAGCTTTTGTCTTTGATGGTGTAAATTTTGGAGCTTGATTTTGCATTTCTGCATACTCCAGGTTAGTACACAGGCAGGCTCTTAAATGTTGAATTAATCTCAATCTCTTTCCAAATCTCTTCTGATAAATGTCAAAACTTCTTGTCAATTTCTTCAGGTTTTGGTGGCCATGGTAAGCATAGCAAGCTTATTTGTTCTCTTTAAGAGCAATAGTTTTGCTGGAATCTGGATAGCTTTAACAATTTACATGGGTCTCCGCACATTTGCTGGTGTATGGAGGTGACCAAAATAAACTAATACACAAAAAACTATCTTTGGAAACACTTTATTTAAGTAAAAAGCTTCAATTTTGCATGCAGGATGGGAGCTGGAACTGGACCTTGGGGATTTCTCAAAGCCCGATTGTTACCATAAGCTTTATATTATATAGCTTCAGGATTCAGGACTTAAAATACTTAACTATATGTTCTTAGTGTTGTCAGTAAAACAACTATTTTTCTTGGTTTTTTCTTTCTTGAGGTATCATTTCCAGATACACATATAAATGCTTCTGTTTGAGTGCTATGTACCAATAGCTTTTATAAAATAAAAATCACATGACCGACCACATTTCTCTCCTCTTCCACATAGAAATTTGATCACTTTAGTGATGAAAATCAGGCAATATTGTCAAGTGCATATTAGCCTTAGCATATATACTAATCACAAGCAACTAATCAAATAAAAGGTTATATAAAAGGAAGAAATATTAAAGCCGCCATCTTGAGAGTGAGAGGAACGGTGCCTAAGAAGCAAGCAATGGGGGATTGATTATAAAGAAAAGTTGATTAATAAATAATGTTAGAACCAAAACATTATACTTAGAAAGTAAGCAACCTACTCATCAACCGACCATAAAAAAGGCAAACCCTAGAAATCTTACAACATGAACTGACCCACCACAAGACTCAAATCACTATCAAAATACCCAAGTGAAAAATATTAACCATTTCTTATCCAACTTCAATAGAGGCTTGCCCACCCACCTTACTTTATGGGTTGAGTGGTTTGCATCAAAACAAAACAAAGGTACAAAATTGAAAATACCTCTTCCTCAATCTCAAAGTCAAGGACCAACACCACCATCTTTTAAAAGTTAGATCTCATAAATTCATTCCTTATTCAAGAAAATATTCCACTATCTTGTTTATCCACATGTGACGATCTCTTCTTAAAAGATTAAAAAGAATCTTAAACATATTCTATTCCTTTGTGTCTCACAAATAATGATAACCAATTAATAACCGAAACATCGGGATGGAGATACAATTCAATAATGACACCCAGATAACATATATATATAACTTGGCTTCAGTTTGATTGTATGTACATCCGAAATAAAGCGAGCAAAGGAATCAAGAAAAGATAAAGGAGGGCAAGATGGTTCAACTAAGGAAAGAAAAAAAAAAAAGGTATTCAAATATATTAATAATAAAGGAAACATATGGCATCTAATACATTGCAGCCATCAAAAAGAATTACCCTCCCCTTTCCCCCACTTACGTTTCTTTAGTCAATCAACTATCCAAGGAAAATATAATATTGGGAACTGAAAAAATGAGACATCAAAAGTACAAATAAAGGTCTTGTATCAGCCATTTCTTTGAAGAGAAAATTTAGCAGCAAGAATAATCCTACGAGCAGAAAATATTAGAGAGAGAGACCAAGCCTGGACTAAGTTTTCTTAATCAATGCAGAGAGAGGCTTCTTCCCACTTTCTTGATTTCTGTAATAAACATAAAAAATGGTATAAGAAAAAAAATTGAAAATTGCCTGAACTTTTCAGTCATTCTTTTAACACTTTAACTGTTGAACATCACCCTTTTGTTCCACCTTCACTACTGTGTGTCTTCCCAAAGCTTCAACCATCCCTAAAAATACCCAGCAAAATAATATGTACCTTGTGAAAAGTGCTTTACCTATCATCAATTTGAGTAATCAAGATGAAATTTATACTAGACAAGCTGATACAGCTGCATTGCTCAAGCCATGCCCCAATAACCGAATGATCAATGGAACAGTAGGAGAACTGAATTCAAACCTCACCAGAAGATGCGGCACCAGAGGCCAGAAATGTTGGTTTCTCTTTCATCATCTCAGGTGGTGATCCTTAACTAGAGACTGAACCCAAGTTAGATCAGGCTCCTCACCAATGTTCTTCCGAAGATCAAACGAATTTGATCTTCGCAAAAGTTCTAGTTCATCCCATTAACTGACCAGTCTACTTTTCCATTTGGAGAGACCACTTTAGACCAAGAATTTGCATACAGGAGAACCAACAGTTTGGATGGGATTATTGGATCCTAGGTCCCTCAAGCGAGGCGGTAGTTGTGGCTTTCCACGCTGCATCAATGCAGCTAGCCTAGAGCCCATTGGGGAAATTGGTCCACACTTCTTGGTGACATTCTTACGGGAGATCAACACAAATGAAGCTGCCTTAGCGGGTGCTCTACGTTTTTTGGAGAGAAAACATTTGTAAATGGGAGGATAGCATGCTTTGTTGGAGTTGTGAGAACAGCTGATTTGTGGCCAGGGGAGGAAACGGCGCTGATCAGAATACCTAGGAGATGAAGATACTCAGCAGAGTGAAAAGCTCCTCCAGATTTGAGGGATTCGTGTTTTAGTCGACCAGAGCGACTCAAAGACACAGGACTGTTTCGTGATTGAGAAAAACAGGTTAGATCATTTAAAATCTGTTTGTGGGCATCATGTTCTGACAAAATGCTAAAATCATCAGCAGGGATATCTCTAGCACTAAGGGAAGACCTCAAGCGACTGATTGAATGTTGTCTCCCGGAGATTAGTGTAGGAACATTGGTTGTGGCCACGCCATGCAGAGTGCATATTGCCATTCCCTGAAGGAGACATGGGTTGAGTAAAGGGATTAGGTGACATGGCAGAGATCGATGAGGGAGAACCAGGGAAAAGGCTCAATGTGGCAGCCATATCCATGACACCAGCACTGCTTACAGATGAGGTGGTGAAGGAACCACAGATCCAGAAGAGACAACAAGGGGCGAAGTTTCTTCAGCTGTGTGAGCGAAAAAGCAAACCCGCCTATTGCAACTTGTGCCATCTTTGCATAGCCGAGTTCTGTATTGAGCTGGGTGTAGCCAGCACTCAAACACTCCATGAGCATACTCACATATCACCACGCCTACAAGAACCCTTACGAAAATCAGGACAAGGCACACAGCTATAGTGAAACTTCCGCAGGATCTCTTGCCGAGCATTCTCCCCCGGGTGGACAAAAGGGCACTCTGTCCAATCATGGGAATATGCTCGGGAACAAGGACGGACCTTGAAGGAGAACATCCGAAACTCATCAGATGCATAAATGCTTTTTATGTCTGGGAGAGATGGATAATTGGGTACTCTTTCTTTTCAGCAACAGCACTGACAGATACATCAAACTTTGAGGATATTGGAGAAGATGCAACTCAGTAGGAGATGGTAGTGACCCATTGCCTAATACAGAGGGGATTGGGGAGTAGAACTAGAAGAACTAGTCGATATTGTCAAATTGCTCTCAACATCACGGCTAAAACCAGAAGCACAATTGCTTCCAAGAAGTTCTTCAAGAGCGATTCTCATGCTCTGCAGCTTGGTGGAACAGCATAACATCAACCGACGTCGACCACTGGGACAACACAATATGGATCCGCACCTGCAGCTAAGAGCAGTCTAACAACATCAATCATATCAGGTGAACCTCCAGAAGCAGACCAATGAAGGGCAGTGCTTTTGTCCGTGCCACATGAGAGATTTACATCAGCCATAGAATGCAGCAGTATAAGCTTAAGCACATCAACATACCATAGGTAGCAGCAACCATCAACGGAGTTTTAGCCTCGCGAACTATCTGTTTTGAGCCTTTTTGACGGCCATACACAGCCAACCTCGTCAACACAAGAAGGATCCCGCTCTAATACTCGCTAAAGCCTTCAACATCATTGTTAGAAGCAAGTTCAAGTAAGCTGGAAAAAGAATCTTCAGTCTCAACACTAAGGTATTCATATCTTCGGTGCTAGATTTTGATCGCTCTGGACCACCGCACAGCTTCAATTAGCTGGAGAATCAAGAACAAAAATTAAATGAATAAATAAACATACTAATTCTAGAAACCACAAATCCATAAAACGCATTCAAATTAATGACGACAATACCATAGAATAAACCAAAATAATGATATAATGAAATATCATAGAAAACCGTACTGAAACTTAGTAAAAACATCATTTATATTTATATTTTGAGATAGAATGAGAGCTACTTAATCATACAAGCAATACGTATAATTGCATAGAACTAACTTATAGACAAGAAAAATATACATATCTTGTAATGGATCGTCTACAAAAGATCAGCACAAAACTTTAAGAAGAAGATAGACAAAATCATAATACCAACAACAAGAATCTTAGTAAAGGTAGATCTGCAACTCAAACTCTAGAATTCTACACGACATACATATAATACTCGGGAATAATTAGATTACAATTTTTTTTTTTTTTATTTGGTAGAAGCATGAGGATTCTTACTCTAAAAATCAAAACTTTTTGCTATTCACTTAAAAAAAAAAAAAAAAAAAAAAACTAAAACTCTTTCAGGACATTCCATTTTCTCAGCAACACAAACAACAACGAAAACTTAAATACTAAAAAGAACTCACATACAAATTTGAAGCATGAGGTGAGTAGAAGAAAAGTCAACAGATCTAACGAAAGAGAGGAGACGAATCAGCATGGGGCTTCATGGATCTGCAGAGCAAAGATCAATGGCCGAAACTGCCTAAGTAAAGTGATAGAAGAAGACAAGCTAGAGAGATAATAGATGAAGGTGTGTTATAGCACAACTTGTAAAACATCTTCTTCAGGTCGATGCTACCGAGGAAACAAAAACTGTGCTGAACTGAACTACCAAGAATAAAGAAAGGATGTTTGGAGAGGAAGAAAGTAAAGCCTAGAAATGGAAATGAAAGATTAGATTTACGGACTGGATAGAGTTTAAGTTCAAAATAAAAATGAAGGAGAAACAAGAAGAAATGAAATGGTATTGAAATGCACGTTAAATGAAGTTGAAATGAGAGTTAAATTTAAAGTGAGGTGGGGGAAGATTGTGGGACGTGAAGTGGCGGATTAAAAGCTGGATTGGAATTGGAGATTTGGAGTCCGCAATCAAAGAGAATGTGTCAGGGCAATAGTCAATTTTGGTTTAATTTAGAGTCAAATCAATATAATATATATTTTATAAACAAATAAAAATGGTGTGTAATAAGAGTTTCTATTTTAAAAATGAAAAAATTATACAAAGAGTTTCTTAAAATAAATTTCTTTTATTATTACTATTATATTCAACCTTTTCTTTAATATTTTTAAAAGGAAACTGAAGTGATTTACTTACTGGAGAAATTTGATTCCAAAATTAAGAATAATAAAAATTAAAGTTGTTTAAGGTATATTTACTTTAGAATTTATCCTTATGCTTGTGATAAGAAAACAAATATTGACAAGATAATCCAAAATTAAGAATAAAAAAAAAAAAAAATGAGTTTGGGTAAAACCCACTCACAAAAACCAAATCAAAAAAGAAGAAAGTTCAACCATATATTTTATAACAATCTATCAAAATAACGATATGTTACAACTTTAACATCCTCTTTCATATTCGACGTGCATAGTCAAGGTACAAATCTATCAAAAACAACCATCGGCTCAAACAAACATAATTCTAATACCATTATAAACGAAATTGGCTAGAACTATTTCGTGTCATTTACCATATAAATAGTATTTAATGCATTATATTTAATTGCAATTGACTTTAAAATCAAATTATCTTAACAGTTGTGATTTCTTACCAAAGTAAGCAACATAATTACATATAGATTGAGTTAGGTTTGAAAGACATAGGACAACAATCGAAATTGTCTTGATTAGAAGAAAAGATTTGGTGAGGAGAAAAGTAGTTAGATTATGCTACGCCCATTTGAAAGCAATTAATATATTTTGTTAATAAATAACTATCACTTACTTATATTTATATATTAAAGAGGAATATAAGTTGTTGGTGACAAATTTTCACTTTTAATAACCATAACTAATCTTAATCAAGTTAGGCAACGTGTTTCCTTCCATATTTAAGGAATTATGTTGGTTCATTTTTACACTAATTAATACATTAAATATAACGAATTGAATTACTTCAATAGTATCACCGATTAATAAATACATATTGTATATTTTTCAACTTGATAATAACTAGTCACTACCAAAAAAATTTATAATGATATAAATTATTGTTTTATAGTATGGAAGATGTGTTATAGCTTCGATATTCTAAATTTTTTCTTCCAACCCTTTTTTTTTTTTTTTTTTAATGACAGAGTGTCTGAGCTAATTTGCGTGCATCTCGACTATTCTTCGAGATCTATTGGACACCTTACAAACCTAATAGATCTGGTAAGTTGTATTACTAGTACAAGCCTAATGGACCGATAAGTCATAAATGTGATAAGTGGCTACTTGATGGCCAACTTGAACAGACGACCTTTGGATAGCCTAAGGTTGTGTCATCCCGTCGGAGTCAAGTGGTTAATCCATTTTAGCTTTCTTTTGATAAATAATATTTTTGCTTCTATTATAATCCATGGTGGTGATTATTTTATAAAAAATTAGGGTTATCCTAATTGTAAGAATAAATGTCATGAATAGTGTTCCCACTCAAAGTCCTATTAACATATTCCAAATGTTGGGGACTTTTTTTATTATTTGAAACGTGAAGTCATAGGCAAACAAGAGATTAATTTAATATGATATAAGGTTAAAAATATTATATTTTGTATGGCTTAAGTATTGCATTATTCATGCTCAGAGAATTATTTTTGTCTCTCATGACCAAGAAGGATAAGTGGGTTATTAATCTAAGTTTTTAATTAATAGATAATATTATTTATTTATTTATTTGATGCCCCACTAAACTAAGTAATGGTGATAATGCTTTTGCCATAATAAGGCAATCCTATTGCAAGATTCGTTTTCTCTTTAATTGGTATTTGGATAATGGTTTCTTTGGCACATTATGAATCCAAAGGTTGACCTAAAAAAAAGTTTGTTCATTTAATTGATTTTCTAAATTCAAACCACTTAAGAATCACCTATTATATTTATGATTTATCTTAGAACATTGAATTTTTAAGATGTTCAATGGGTTCTGAGGATTTGACGAGATATACAAAAGCTGATCCGAACACTTCAAACATAAAAAAAGAAAAAGAAAAAATGATACATTATGATACTAATAAATAAATAAAAAGAAGAAAGATGAGAATATGGTAGAGGATCAATAGTATCTTAATTTTTTTTTTTTTATCTTTACAATTTGTATGATTAATTGAATACAATATAACATGATGTATTGATTCGTGATATCGTTAATGAGATATTATTTCTTTAAATAAAGAATTATTACTATTTGTTTAGGGGGAGGATAACTTAACAGTAACATAATTCATAAAGCATAAACATTATATTTTCTATTTTAAAAATTATATTAACTTAAAAAAGATGGATAATATAAAATAAAAAAAAAAAAAAAAAGGGAAAGCATATGGCCCATGCAGGTCTCGAACCTGCGACCTTCGCGTTATTAGCACGACGCTCTAACCAACTGAGCTAATAGGCCAACTGTTTTCAGTACAAAAGATATAATAGAAATCAAAAGCCCACAAAAAAAGGAAGATGTAAAATGTAGATATAGGTCTACTTTAAGGTTTATTGAAAACTCCATTCCAACAACCTTTGAGAGAAAAGCCAATGGATATTGATTTTGATTATCAAACAAAGCTGAATCGGTCCCATTTTGAAAAGCACTTCTTCTTGCTTGGTAACAACCTACTTTGGTCCCATTTTGAAAAAAACACTTCTTCAATCTTTTAGCTTCCTAACTATCCACATACAATGTCAAAACCACTTTGGCTCCCTTCAACGCCAACAAAACTATTTCATTTTCAACTTCTTTCTAAGTTTTAACTTATTCCCTTATCGCCCTACACGTGCCATTGCTTAAACCTTCTTTAAATTATCTTTATGACTTAAATACCCATTTTATAATTTTACATTTCTTTTTCTCCTCCCAA